TCTAGTTCATCCTCAACTATCATGCCCACCCCACTATAGTTAACTACATCAGGTAATACTCCATGATTTCTGGAAGCACCGATTATACAATAAATTGGTTTGAATTCTGGTCTGTAAATCAGAAAGAGGGAAACTACCAAAAGCCAGTCCATCACAACCCTGTTTATTCACAGCCCTTCAGGAAACAACTGAATGGCTCAGAGGTCTTTTATTTAGTCTTCAAAACTTGATTATTGATGGCACTCTGAAAATCCATGTGGGCCTTGTCAGGAAGAACAATTAATCACGGGGATGATGTAATGACAGGGTTCAGAATTAATTACCATGTGGCCGGTGTATAATGTGACAGTGTATAGAGCAGAACTCATGAAAACAATATGCTGATCTGTGCTTCTAGCCATAGAGCTCAGAAAAGAACAAATAAGTATAGTAAGCAAATGATTAGCATCATAATAAGAACATCTTCACTACCTCTCAGCAAAGAACATGGATCTTCTTGACCTACACTGAGATAAAATTCCATCTATAATATGAAATAAGAGACACAAAAGGTCTTTAGAAATCCAATTATTTGCCTTTTGGAGAAGAACATGAGAAATGCCTTCCTAGTTTAGACCAATGGTTCATCTACTCTAGTATTCTGCTTCCAATAGTAGCCAACCAGATGCCCATAGAAGAGCCACAGCCAAGGTAGGGTTGTCTACCCAGAGATGGAGACTGGAGTTCTCCTAGAATTACAGCTGGTCTCCAGGTCTACAGAGATTGATTTCCCTGGAGAAAATAACTGTTGGTATCTGGCATAAGTCTTCAGAAGGATGGACTCTGTAGTATTATACCCCAATGAGGTCTCTCATCTCCCCAGGCTGCAGCCCTAAATCTCCAGGATTTCCCAGCCTGGACCTGGCAACCCTAAGCTTTGACTGACAAGATCTATTTATCATATGACAGAGATACACAAAGGAAGTGTATAGTAGTATAAAATATGTAACCAAGTTGATGCAATGGGTATGCAGACTGATTGGGCAATCCCTCTAAATACTAATATCTAGATTTCCAATCCACCCAGTCACAGCTGGGGAGAGTTCAAAGAGCTCTGTCACATCTCCCTGGAAAGCATAATGCTCACATTACTGTGAGAGATGGAAAATAGTTTGTCAGGCTGCACCACAATCACATTCGGGTCCTGATGTTTTGCCCCATTTAAACAACAAGTCTACACAATTGCCAAAGTGTGTTCATATTCAATTAGCCTTCTTCCATCCTGAGGGTGTCTCGTTGGTATTTAACCAGTTATTGATACTGGGTAGAACTGATCACATCTATGTTCACAACCCTTCATTCCCTAGATCAAAATTATGTGATTGCAGGATTTGAGCAGATTTTATAGCGGGGTGCTGGGATCTTAGTCTGGATAGGCCCACCTCAGCCATGACTGACAAAAGAAACTCCTAAACAAGCTTTAAATGTTACTTTAGGAAGACTATTTCTAGCAATTCTGATCCCTTCACAGGAACATTTTAGCTTCTTTTTTTCAGCTGAGTATCCCTATTTCATACCACAAATGCGTTTTGTAACTGTGACTTTAAAAAAAAATGGTTTACCAGGCAAGAAGGCTCCCACCGCTCAAAACACACAGAACACAGTTTCCTAGAGAAGACAAAGAACTAATTTATTGGTTGATATATGCTGGTTTTAGATTCTGACACTTACACCATATCCCAAGAAACCTCAGAGCCTTCATATTTCTAAGAAAGAGAGTAAAGCTGAAGTGGGCTGAACGACCACCCCCTTAGGCAAACACAAAGAATCCATTCTAGTGCTGGGAGAAAGCCCCACTGGGCTTGCCTTTGTTTGGATCAAAGGCCAATGTATCTGCACAGTGCTTGGGTTATTTTAAAACTCATTATGATTGTTCTGGATAAGAGGGTAGAAATGCAAGGTCTTCATCACTACAGAGTTCCTGAATACCCAGACCCATATTCCAACCCAAATTTGCCTATTTATCAGTCACTGATAAAACAGTATATGTTGTTGCAGCCCAGAGAAAGTAAAGTGGAAAGAAGAAGAAGAAGAAGAGGAGGAGGAGGAGGAGATTGGATTTATATCCCACCCTTCACTTGGAGTCTCAGAGCAGTTTACAAACTCCTTCCCCTTCCCCTCCCCACAACAGACACCCTGTGAGGTGGGTGGGGCTGAGAGAACTCTGACAAAAACTGCTCTTTCAGGAACAGCTGTGCCAGAGCTTGTGACTGACCCAAGGTAACATCAGCAGGTGCAAGTGGAGGAGCGGGGAATCAAACCCGGTTCTCCCAGTTTGGAGTCTGCACACTTAACCACTACACCAAACTGGCTCTCTTGCCTCATCCTCCACTAAGTGGCATGGAACCCTGTTCTGCCCAGTAGACAGGTTTTGCCTCTTTGCACAGAGGTATGGGGTGTGCATTTGACTTCCTATGTCTGAGATGGGTGTCATCTTCTTGATGATGCTGGGAGTTGCTATGATGGGAATTGGGGCATTGTGGGGCACATACTATTTGCAGTGGAAGCTAAGGTTGTCTGTGGCAGGCAAAACTCATCTATAATAATAAAAGGAAGTATCTATTGGTTTCTGGCATAAGTCTTCAGAAAGTAAGGCTATGCACTGAAAAATGAGCCACCAAGTTCAAAATGGCCATGGGAGTTTCGGTGTCAGAAATGAACAGAATCAGGACATTCTGACACCAGATCATCTCCAGTTTCTCTCTCCCCCACCCATGCTATTTGCAATGGAAGCTAAGGTTGTCTGTAGCAGGCATAACTCATCTGGTAATAAAGCTAGGAGCATCTAAATTGGACACAAGCTTAAGGATTATGTGGAACATGCAGTGCCAAAAATGACCATCCTGGCACAGATTAATTCCACAACATCTCTCTATATTGCTATGGGAGCTAAAGTAGAGCCTTTTTTCCAGCAAGATTCAGTGTAATACCATCAGCAATCTTGCATGGGAGATATAATAACAGTATATGTGGATAGACTTTGCCATTGCAACTCTGGATGCATTGAGACTGTTTCACATATTTGTTTGCATTGTCAATTTTTTGTGGATATATGTTCTGGATATTTAAATCCTATCTTAGCCAACATGATGAACCGTTCTGATGCTTTAAAAGTGCATCGTCTTCTAAATGAGTCTGTTCTGGAAATATCAATGAATGTAGTCATGTTTTTACAATTAGCGATAAAGCTATGCTAGGAAAACTACCAAATGTGTAATTGTTTTATGTAACACTATGCAATATTATGTAGTCAGTAAAATGCTCGGCTCTATATGTATGGTTCTATATGGTCTTATGGTTTTATAAGTATATTTCTTTCTACAGCAATCCTCTTTTAAAGTATTTTTATGCCAATAAAGGCTAACTGAACTGAACTGAACTGTATAGACCTGCCCTTCAAAAGTGTTTGGAAACTTCATCTGGCACAGAATGCTGCAACCAGGATGCCCAATGGTGTGGGTTGGTGGGACCAGAGCATTCCAATTTTGGTTCATCTACACCAGGGGTCTCCAGGATTTTTAACCCTACAGGGCACCTTTGTAATTCTGACATAGGGTGGTGGGCACAACCACAAAATGGTTGCACCTACCTGACCACTACAATCACTTCTGTGGCCCTATTTTGGGCACCCTATTTTGGCCAGTTAACAAGTCAAGAGAGGACCTTCTCTGTCTTTGCACCAAAACTATGGAACTCCTTCCCCAAGAATTATCTCTTACATCACTGTCTTCTGCCAGTGGGTAAAGACCTTTTTGTTTCATCTGGTGTTCCCTCAATAATGTCTCTTTTCTGCTGTATGTTCTAACTGCTGGACCTGTGTCTTTATATGCACATTTTTCTTTTTAAAATTGGTGATGTATTTTATAATGAACTGCTTTTAATTGTTAGGTGCTTTGGTGGCCCTGATAAAAAATTTGTAAATAAATGATATACAAACCTTTATGTCTTCTGCTGATGTGCTAGGTGGCTGATACACTTTGTCTGGGACTGATGGAGGACTGAGAAACCGGAGAGGGGGCAGCTCTTTCAGGGTGACTGTCTTGCCCTTCCTCACCCAGGTCTCAGTCACGCACACCAGGTCCACTTTCTGTGTTGCAAAATGATTTTGCAGAGTTGAAGTTTATTATTAATGGACCTGGCATTACATAACATCAGTGCAGGAGAAAGGTATGTGTTCCTAGCCCAACTACCAACATGTCTCCGGATGGGATGAAGGTTGGAAGATATATCTCCATCTCCTTCTGTTACAATACCTTGTCCCATATCTTTTGTGTCTTCAGATCCCTGACTCCATAGTGGGCCTCCCCTAGTCAATTTCATCCATCACCACCCACCCTGCACCACACCTACACACATTAACACCACTAACCCACTAGTCTTATACAAATAAGCCACTAACACTAACAAAAAACAATACCCATCCTAATCACTACAGTTCTTAACTATTCTGCTCCTTCCCTCCAGGGGAGAGCCAGTTTGGTGTAGTGGTTAAGTGCGCGGACTCAAATCTGGGAGAACCGGGTTTAATTCCCCACTCCTCCACTTGCACCTGGCTGGATGACCTTGGGCAAGCCATAATTCTGGCACAGCTGTTCTTGAAAAAGAGCAGTCTCTGCCAGAGTTCTCTCTGCCCCACCTACCTCACAGGGTGTCTGTTGTGGGGAGGGGAAGGGAAAGGAGTTTGTAAGCCACTCTGAGACACATTTGGGTAGTGAAGGGTGGGGTATAAATCCAATCTCTTCTTCTTCTTCTTGCAACCCTTTGTTAAGAAAATTACAGTAGGGCCAGTTAATATAAGTGCCCTTTCCCCATCTCTGCCAGTAGTGCTTAGCAAGGTACTTCCTGAATATGATAAATTACCTATGAAGCTATTGGCTGGGAAACATATGAGCATATTGAAATAACCACTCACAAGATAATGGGTCAAATTGGACTAGTTTGTGTTTAATACATGCTTTTTGTCAACGTTTCCACATTATGGAGGAACATGTATTTTTGCTGATTGCTTTCCTTACAGCAATTTTGATGTCCTTGTTTCTCAGGGTAAATATTATAGGACTGAGAAGGGGCGTAATGATGGTGTAGGGTATTGATATCAGTGTGTCATTGTCTAAAGTGTCAGAAGCACTGGGCCTGAGGTAGACAATTGCAGCAAACCCATAGTGCATAATTACCACAATGAGGTGAGAGGCACAGGTGGAGAAGGCCCTCTGCCAACCATCAGTGGAGGGCATTTGAAAAATAGTGGAGAGGATGAAGACGTAGGTCAATATGATGAACAGGAAACTGCTAGACAAGCCAAAAATTGAGACTGCAGAGACCACAACTTCAGTGTTACTTTCATCAGTGCAGGCCAACCTAACCACTGTCCTCATGTGACAAAAGAAGTGGTTGATGGTTTTGGAGCCACAGTAGGGCAACCTGAAAATCAGAGTTATCTCAGCAACAGATATCAGAAACCCTGCCATCCATGAAAAAGCTACAAGCCATAGAATCACCCGATTGTTCATGAGGACAGGGTAGTGCAGGGGCTTACATATGGCGAGGTATCGGTCAAACCCCATTATGGTAAGGATGAAGCAGTTTGTGCCCCCCAATCCAAGGAAGAAAAACATTTGTGCAACACACCCAGCAAAAGAGATTGTTTTACTCTTGGTTAGCAAGTCCACCAGCATTTTCGGAATGATGACTAAACTGTAACATGACTCAGAAAAGGATAAAACAAAAAGGAATAAATACATGGGGACATGAAGGGTCCTATCAGTCCGAATGACTACAATGATCAGCAGATTCCCAATCACAGTGATAATATACATGAGAAGGAACAACACAAATAAAAATGATTGTAAAGCTGGAGAAACGGAAAACCCAGCCAGGATAAAATCTGTTACAGATGTCTGGTTTTTCTTCATCTCCCTGCAGCACCTTGGACCTGGAAAGAGAACAAGATTTCAGTTACCAAAGATGAAACTCAATGTTGTGAGTCAAAACCAGTTCCAATTTGGTCATAATCCTGGCTAGCGTTCTGCCAGTGCTCTCTGCCTGACCCAGCAACAGAGGAGCCTGTCAAGAACAACTCCCTCTCCCCCTCCCACACCCCAAACCCACGCTGCTTTTAGATTCTCCGTTAACACTTTTTAAAAAGGAGATGTTTTTAGAGATACAGTACTGCTGGCAAAGACCTTCATTACAAAAAACAATCCAAGGTTGTTTCCTCCCACCTTCTCCTCTCATCTCTGTGCCTATGCCCCTGCTGCTCAACTAGGCGTCAAGGTGGGGCTGGGCTGCAGATGTTAACTGACCTCAACCGAAGTGAACCAACCTGCACTAGGGTGGTATGGGATGAAGATGCCTGGGCTGGGAAAACACTATGAGCCACACTGCCTGTCACTTGTGCCACCACCGGCAGAGTCCAAGCTGTAATCTCCAGAGACAGCATGGCAAAAGCCCAGTTCTGGAAGGTGTGCAACTTTCCCCTATCACCTGTGTGTCTCTGCCACCCATGCTTCTGACTAGGTGCAAAGTAAATGCCAGCAACAGAATATGGAATCAGGTTGCCAAGAGTGGGGTGAAGGTTGGGGTGAGACAGCTTTCTATCAGACCCTTGGAAAGGGTGTGTGTGTGTGTGTGTGTGTGTGTGTGTGGGGTGGTGTGGGGGGGGAAAAGAGAGAGAGAGAGAGAGAGAGAGAGAGAGAGAGAGAGAGAGAGAGAGAGAGAGCATATTCAGTTGAATTAGGGTGTCTCCTGGTTTTGTGTGAGGATGGCTGTGGTCACACAGTTGTTTTGATCAGGTTTCACTGCTGTTTCCTCCCACTTTTAAAATTGCTGATCAGACAGGCCTTTCGTGCCAAAGCGGGCTCACTCCCACAATGCTCCTGGTTCTCTCCCGTGTTTTCCTGCACCAGGAAAATCAAGTACTGTCCAGCTATTTGCACCTTAAATCCATGATTTTGCCCATCTGGACAGCCATCTCGCTCAATGATTGTGATTAGGGCCGTCTGACCATTCTTCACGCAATGAGGTTTCCCCCCCCCCCCGCTCCCTTTTTTGAGCGCACTAGCAAC